TACCAATACTAAATAACAACTTGACAAGTTGCTCAACATTCCTCATTTCAATGTAGTAGTAACTGCATGCTTTTTCATGTAAAGACAATATTATGAATTTTTTTCTCGTAATTTTACGACTTTAAACTCGTAATTTCAAAAAAAAAAAATCTCGTTGTGTGGCCCTAATACTCCGTCGTATTATTGGATGCAGTATAGTAAATAAATATTTAAGCCTCATTACAGAAAGAATCATAATATTCCTAAAAAAAAAATGACCAGTTGAAAAATGATGGATATAAAGGTATAATGAGTCTTGAGGTGAAAGTGGGTTTGCAGTCTTAGTGAGATCAACATGTTCATCTGAAAAAGAAAAAAACAAAACTCCACAGTTGGTGTGTTTTTGTCATTTGTGAGACTTTAAAAAGCTGGCAAGTGGCTCAGAGAATTCCAGTGTTTCAGCCTCGCTGCTGCCTGATTCCAGATGCTTGTGACGAGCACAGAGAGGCTGCACTTAGCGCTCTTTGTCAAAAACGTGCATCGTTAAACAAAAGCAAAGCCCCGTGAGTGCAGGGGCCATCAAATGTTTCAGTCTGTGTGTCGCAGGCGTCAGTCAGAGCAAACGTCTTCCAGCTCCTCCTGAGAAGTGTTGCGAAGGTCTGCGCGCTCCTGTAGCCATCAATATTACAACATGTTCCTGTTTCCAGCCCTGATGCTCACTGGCTTTGATTCCCGGCTCACTGTCGTCGCTGCATTGACGGGAAGTTGGAGAAGCGAGACCTGTGGTGACTTCCAGCTGAGTGGCAGCTCTTTCAGTCGCGTAAATGTGGAGTAGTGTACATTTGTTTGAGAGGAAGACCCCCGTGTGTCGTCAAGTAGAGAAAATGCTTCATTATGTTCAGAAGAAGCACGAACATGGAGGGGACGGGGAGGGTGTGTGTGAAGAGACGCTTTTAATCTGCCTCAGTCTCACAGGCAGAAAGAACAGACCGAAGTGATGAAGTTCAACAGRGAACCAGCAAACTCTGCTGAAGTGTCGCCATATCCCCCTCGTTTTTCCCTCCTGTTTGATTCTGATTCCTTGTTTTTAGAACAGTAATGATGGTGACGTAAACAGTGGGTGGTTGCAACCCCCGGAGGGACGTTTGCCTTTAAGTTCAAAGTGCTGGACATGAAAAGGCAAAAAAATAATAATAATAAAACAAGAGAAAGATGGAAAGAAACTACCAATTAGGAATAATTCCATTCCATTGAAATCATCATGCTCAGAATGAGACTTCGACCAATCAGATAGCACGCATAAAGCTTGTTGGTAAAGTTTTTTCTTTCTTTCTTTGTTATGGTTTTGCTCAAGTGAAGCAGGAAAGTAAGCAGAGAAATCTGCATAAGGACAACATAAGCTGGGATGTGAAAGCCTGCGGTCACAGGAATGTAGTGCTGAACTGAGCAACCAGACATGTTTGAGCTTTTGAGGGCGAGCATTTCTTTTGTCAGCAGGGATTGATTTCAGGACATTGTCCTGTGGACATTGGAAGCTTTCTTGCTTGGATACAGCTTAATTATTCTGTGTATTGTTTATCYACCCATGGCACTAATTCACTGTGACAAAATTGAACGTGGAGTTTTTCTTTTACGGCCCTTTTATACTCATTACAGTATCCTTGAGTCAGTTACAACCATCTATAATAATATCCTTAAGTGTTGCCGTGTGTTAATCATAAAATGTTTCTCAGACTATCTTTATTGATCAGGCTGTTCTCCTCTGTGACCAAATTCATTGCAGAACATGACAGAGTCCCACATGTGTTAAGAAATGATGTTGGGGGGGGGAATGCAATGTGATGCAATGATCAAAGAAGGCTATGTAATATCATTTCCATAATCGTTAGGCTCCTTCGTCGTCTGTCATGGATTTGGGAGCGTTTGATGCTTGGGCAGGTCTCTTAATTAGCCATCCTCTCCATCAGCTGTCTGCCGCCCCCTCTGTCTCACAAATTACAGAGTTTGTCACCATCACATGGCCAGAGGACGAAACGAGGGAGGGGGGGCGGACTCCTCCAACTGGTCCCCCTCCACTTACAAGCAGCACATCGATCCACATTTTAGTTTTAATCAGTGGGCGGATGAGGATTAGAGGGTTGCAGGTTTGTTCAACAAGTGTACTTGTTACCTTATGGGTATGTCATCTTCTAAGTGCGTCTGATTTTTACCCTTCTTCCTTGTGAGGCTGCGGGCCTTTCGACTCAGAGGCTTAAACGCCCAAGTTTGGCCTCTGATGGAGCTCACGCTTCTGYAATTACAGAGGTCTTCCTTCACCATGTGTCAGTGTGTGCAGGCATGTTGGRAAAGAAAAAAAAACATTCTGGGTTATTTTTATTTATTTATTTTTTTTGTGAACCTCTCTGACTCTGTGTCTGGCAGAAAGGGTTAGCCCTTGGCGAGACCTTTCATTTCAATGCGCTGCACACTCCATTAAAAGGAAAGGAGAATAAGTAAATACACATCACTTCTCTCGCTGGAATTTAGATATAGACCCCCTCCAAAAAGAAGAAGAAAAAAAAAAAAACATCCCACTTGGTTTACAGCATATGAGAGAAAAGTGATGCTGGAGTTCATGTTTGTGTCTGAGCGTATCTCTATTTAGACGAGTGCGTGTCGGTGCCCAAACCAGAGGGGGCTAACAC